ACACACATATATATATACATACATACATTATAACATACATACTTATATCAAGGAGGTATAAAAATAAGAGGAGAGAGTACCAAGTCATTTCCTTTGAACCTCTGGCGGCCGCCGCCCCATTAATCTCTCCTCTTATTTTTATACCTCCTTGCTTATATGTACGGTTGGGTCAAATTTGTGTGGTGGTTGAAAAATACAGGGGGAGTCTTTATGGCCCAAAATTGTGATTTCAGAGCACATTGGTAATGTAATTCGACAAGCAAATTACAGTAACATTTTTAGCAAATTTCTTTGAAAAAATATCGTAGGCATAGGGCCTAGCTAGGTATACAGTATTTTCATTTTACAGTAGTTTGGAACAATATCGGAAGTGGGGGTGCTGGCAGTGGCCTGCTAAGGACTACAATTTATTTTGAAAATATCTTGGGTCCGATCGTCCACACCAGTTGGGCCCAATCGTCTGTCACCCGAAGTTTTCATTACGATTATCAAGAACGTACACGGTCTAGGCAAGGAGGTATAAAAATAATAGGCCCTGGGCTATAGGCTTAGCTTGCTGTCGTCACTCTGCTACGTATACTATTACCGCATAACAAAGAAAGCGACCCACGTGGTGCATTCTTAAATATTACACATATTATTTAATTGTATTAGACGATAACACGATAACATTGATTGAACGATCTAACTACCCTCGCATCGCAGTAATACTGAACTAGGCCTAGCTGAGGCCTCATGTTTTTGTGGAAAGCTAGATAGACGTTATGTACTCGACAGTCGGCTGCCTTTATATTTTCACCTGTTTTCAGTTGCATTCAAAGGGTACATTGCTGCACAGCCAACTGTCGGGGATATAGTACTGTACCTTCATATGACTACTCATACGTATACAACAGAAAAAAACGTCGCATGAACTTAGTGAAAAATGGAGATCTAAATGAAAAAACGTTGCATTTCAGCAACATTTTACTTTTATTTTAGGCCTTCTTCAAAATACCTATGCCTGCAGCATTTGATTTTTTTGCCGTAAAACCAAAATAGTTTCATCCATGCCGACTTTCCGGTCGGTTAGCGTGAGCCCTGATTGAACTCTGTAGAAACTTCTCATCGATCTTCGCATCGCGATGTAAAACAAAATGTCGGAAAACTTTTCTTTGACGCATGCGCATTTGCATAAATGTCTACACACACACACACTACACACAATAAAAAACATAGGAAATAGCAAAAGTGATTACAATAGTTCCTATTGCATTACATGCATAGGAACTAAAAAATGGCCGGAGCCACTTTGGCTTTTCCTAAGACAAATGAAACGTAAGGTGTTCCTTGTTCGTCGATAGTACGTATGTATGTGACTTGGTCAATCGCTTTTGTGCTAGCATCAGAGAATGAATGCAGTTCGATTCTCGTCGCCATGCTGAGTCCCTGTGGTAAGTAACACCTGTTCACATGGAGATTCTCTAGGTCGCTCAGCTTGTCCCTCCAGAGTTCCATCGATCCTTGAATTGGTTTGGGAGTTGATCATCCCATCCAATGCAATTAGCGTCCATCTCACCAGCCTTGGTCGTTAAGGTTAGCTGTTGAAGTATGGACTTCCCTTCAATGATTACGGGCGCTACGAACCCTAAGAGGTCATATAATGAGTTTACAGTTGAAAGTATCCCTCTTCGAGTAAAGGGTTTGTCTTGCAGATCTACCTTGTAGGTGAATGTATCACTATGTATGTCCCAGTAAACTCCAAGAGATCTTTGTACAGGGATTGGGTCTTGTTGGAGATCCAAACATTGGAGAGCCTTTGCTCTGTCTTCTACGGGTAGAGCTTGCATCACATCTATGTCGTTCGAAACCACCTTATGCAATCTTAGTTTGGCAGTGGCTAGCATAGCTTGTGTATTGCGTAAAAGACTGATAGCTTCTTCAGAAGTGGCTACAGACTGTAGGCCATCGTCGACGTAAAAGTCGTTGAAAACAAAGTTCCTGCAGGTAAGTCCAAAAACTCCCTTGTTGTCTTCGGCTGTTTTTCGCAATCCAAAAGTTGCCACTGCAGGACTGGGACCATTTCCAAATAGGTGAACTCCCATTCTGTACTTGATTATGTTTTTGGCTGGATCGTTGTTTTTATACCAAAAGAATCGCAAAAAGTCCCGATGTGCCGGAGTGACGTGGAACGAGTGAAACATTTGCTCGATGTCCGCCATAACCGCTATTCTTTCTTGGCGAAATCGCATTAGAATCCCCAAAAAAGAATTCATTTGATCTGGTCCCGTCAACAGTTGTTGGTTCAATGAAATTCCTTCGCACACAGAACTTGAATCAAAGACAACTCGTATTTGATTACGTTTCTTCGGATGGTACACACCGAAGTGTGGTAAATACCACGTATTGGCTTGTGGTTTTCTTAGGTCATTTTCAGGCACAACTTCCGCATGTCTGGACTCTAGCCGTTTCCCCATATATTGGAAGTCGTGTTCCTTCTTAGTAGGTTTACTCTGTAAATGCCTAATTAGGTTACGGAGCGACCTAGAACTGGGTCACGGTCGTCTTTATGTAAGATCTGTTCCATGATAGTGATGAGTCGTCGGTCTTCTATAGAAAAGCCGGGATCGTTATCGTTCCTAGCGCAAGCAAAAACGTCAAACTTGCTGCCTGAGAAACTTTCTTTTATGTTAATGGTATTGGTACACATCGAGATAGCAGGTGGGTCAGACTGGTCAACACTGGTACGATGAACCGCGACGTGGATACGTCCACCAACCCTGTCGATGCAAACTTGGTCTGATATGGTCCATCCGAGATCCAGTCTTTGAGCCCAAGGTGCTCCTGATGGGCCGGTTCTGAACTCCCTAATTTTTAACAGGTCACCAGCATCCCTGCTGAGAAGGATTTGTATGGGAACATCTTCACGGGGATGAGGAATTTGGTCGGCAATATCTACAAGGTGAGCGTAGCGTGCAGCGATTTCCGATCGTCGGGGATACTATTGCATTCTATTAGTGTTGGTAGTTTCATAATATTACCATCCTTCGACTCTGTCATCAAATCTGCGATTCGTCTTCCCTTGCAAGGCTCATTCTTCTTACTGCATGCTGATAATGAGTAATTAGTTGGTTGAATTTCGGGTCCAAATCGATCTGCTAGCTCAGATTTTACCAGTGAGGCATTCGACTGGTCGTCTAGTACAATATATACCATGGTTGAATCGTGTGGGCGATGTCTGAGATATACCTTTGCCAGCACGATCTTGGCGCAAAAGCGCCCACTAACATACTTTCCACATATAGCAGTACATGTGCTTGTAACCTTTTGAGGCTTCTGCTTGTCTGTTTCTACATAGCAGCGAGATGTGCTTAGAGCTACCACATTTCTCACATTTGGTTTCTGTAGAGCAGTCTCTTGCTCTATAGGACCCCAAACAACAACGAAAGCATAGGTTCCAACGCTTGATTAAGTCGTTCCTCTCATCTATAGGTACTGCCTTAAACGATCTGCAATCTAACAGGCTGTGACTGTCCATTTCATGGAATTGGCAATATTTATCGCTGGTAGGCAAAGAGATGTGCGGATTTGTGCTAGTTTTAATCACCCGTGCGGAAAGTCGTCTTTCTGGTGTACGAAGTGTTTTGGTCGGAACATCGTTAATCTTCAACATTGGATTGTTCTTCATTTCTGAAATGGATTCTATCAGTTCGGTGAAGAAACTAAAGGGTGGAAATGTGTGTTTGTTAGCTTGGATATACCTCGAAGCTTTGCTTTCCCACTTTGTATGTACTTAGGTAGCTGACGAATGATTGGGTTAATGAATTCCTCACAGTTAAGGATGTGCAATCCAGGGAGTTCATCCATTTGTGCGGCAATATCTTTGCACAGATCCGAAAATTCTCTTAGCTTCTCATTGTCATTGTAACCAATTTAGATCTCTCGTTTAGAGTGTCTTTGAGCCTTTTTGTTATGACGGATGGATGTCCGAAATGTTCTTGTAGCTTTTGCCAGGCTTCTTCTAGAGCTTTATCAGGGTTGCTGGTGTGTCTCTGGCAATAATGATCTACCAATATCCTAGCTGGTCCCTTAGTAAATTCAGCAAGGTATGCGAGCTCGTCAGTCGCACATATTTTAGCTTTATTAACCATAGCTTTGAATGATCTACGCCAGGTTAAAAACATAATTGGGTCTCCTCCGTATATTTGAGGTTTGCAGATTGGTAGTGATCGTCGTGCAAGGATGTCAATTGTCTTAGTCCACACAGTTTCTGGTGTGGTTGTCGGTTCTGGTGTGGTTGGTGGTATCAGGTTACTTGTTTGCTTCTGATGTGTTTCGTTCTGGTCATGTGCATGTTTCTGGAAAAGTAAAGCGTGATCGTTCGAGGTCTGGTCGGGAGTTGTTTGTGGTTGATAATACAAACCTTCATCTGTGAAGACTGCAGAGGAGGCATTTGCTTTAGCTCTCAGGACAGCAGCTTCACTATCGGCTTTGAGAGTCCGCAACTCAGCTTCTTTTTCAGCTATCTGCTTCTCATACCTGGCTCTTGTTTCCGCAGCTTCCGCATTAGCCAGTAGCTCTGCAATCTGGCTAGAACTTGACTTTGATTTCTTCGATCTCCGAGAAAGTGAAGTGTGCATTGCCTTGACTGAGTAGTTGGATGCTAATTCTGCCATTAGGTTGTCTAATCTTGTTTCAGTCTTAACAATGTCATCAACATATTTACATTGGAGAACATAAACGTTCTGCATGCTGTCATGTTCTTCCTGGATTAAGTTTCCACCCATGATGTAGGCCTCTTCCAAGTCGTACCAGGTCGAACCATAGCGTCCTCTAATGCTTCTGGCTTCAATTAGGGCCTTTTTAATTACTTCGATAGAATCTGGTAAGTCATTTAATTTTCTATGACTGTTTTGGTTGTATTCCTCTGAGAGGATAGCGTTTCTGTTGTTTGCAGGACACTATCCCTTGCCATTGACTCGGCCTGTCGAGTGTGATGTACTCTAGGCCTAGGCATGTCTGCTGTACCGTACGTTGTGTAGTAGGCTAAGCAGGGTTGGTAACGTATGTGTAGGCTAACTAACTTCTCTAGCTGCAGTGCTAGGCAGTAGACGTCTAACTAGACTAATCAATCGTGTGGTGCTGAGTGTTTTCACTGTGCCGGCGTCCAACCGGAGGTACTACTACAAAATACACTTCTTCCAATTGCTTTAGGATATCGGCATACTTTATTCGTACTAACCGGTGAAAACTATAATAAAATGGAATATAAGGTGAAAGCATAAGCATATGCCTGAGTCAGTCTGTATTGTGTTATCTAAGCCTATGCTCAGTGTGATTATTATATAACAATTATTCGTTTCTGAGCCTGTAGTTTCAATGCATAAGTATACTGCCTAAATATCATATAGATTCATAACTAGAACCTAGTATATGCTTACCACTATGGCCAGCAAAGAACACTAAACATTAACTTCAAACTAGAACATGGGAGTGCATCCTCTTCGTCATAGGTCTAGTCCATGCTTTCCTCCTCTCAATAAGGGTTGCCAAAGCGCCTAAGGTCATATTTCAACAATAGAGGGGGTACTATCAAAATAACTAAACAAGAGAAATAATCGAATGCCTTTACACTGTGTATCAAAAAGTATAGCAATGTGATCCATAGAAAATTAATAACAAAACTAAGAAATTCTTGAAATTAAAAAGGGGAAATAGAACACCCCATATAAAAATGTATCATGCTGACGGCTACTCCTGGATGACATTCAAACGCGAATATTATCTAAAATATAAGAAAGCAGAGAATTAATATTTTTACACATTTTTTTAAATATATTGTGTAAAATTGTGTCTATCAATACTGAATATGTAACTTGCACTTAAGGTACATTCTGTCCCTTGTCTGAGAAGGGAATGATATTCTGTTGAGTACTGTTTCACAAAGTACCAGAATTGTTCTGCACCAATATAAATTTCCATTATGTAAGTTATAACCAAAAAAAAACAAAACAAAAAAAAAAACAGAATCTATGAAGAAATTTTAACCAACTGACATCAAAGGCTTGTAAACTTCTGGGTGGCCTCAATATTTTGAGTTAAACTATTTTTCCCACTAAAGGTACATTCACACCGAATCTGAATTGTTGGGGAAATTGCTGAACAGAAATTCCGATTCCTATCCGGGGAAAAGTATTGTTTATTTAAACGGTTGAGGGTGCTCGTTAAGATTTAATCAGAAAGGAAGTGAAATACATATGAAATCATCCTGTCAGTCATATCTTGAACACGGTATAGCGAAGAGGCTTTCTTTTCAATAATTCTTTGGACACAATCCGCTAGCACCTCGACAACAGCAAACTAAATCAAAATTCATTAATCAGATATGGATGTAAACATAGAAAGAACTGACAATAACTCAAATCGACTTGATTTACGAACACAAGGCAATGACTTTGTCCGTGACGGCCGTGTTTCATCGCTGATAGTGCTTTTTGGTGTTGTTTCTTTTTACAGTTCAATAATTATTGCTTTTTACAGTAGTAAACATATTATAAATGGAGACGAAATTGATTGGATGTGTATAGTCATTTTCTTAATTTCCACTACCATGATGATGCATGTCTTGAGAAAGAACAGATCTTGGAAATGGTTGCGCTATATTCGAAGCTCTCAAATGCTATCATCATCCGAATTCACTTGTGAACGTCAGCCGCTTCTTTCACCAAGTTCATCAAGCGAAATAAGCGACCAAACACCTTCCGAACCTATTGTTGGCGTATATATTTTCGGAATTTGCAACATTGCACTTTCTTTAGTTTATATAATAGTCGTTGGACGTTGTATTCATGTACTAACCAAACAAATAGACGAATACCGGCAAATTGTGTTTATTATATCAAACTGTTCTCAAATATGTTTCACCTGTGCTCAGATGACGTTCTTTATAGTTTTCAAAGGTGCATCATTTAAAAACTGCCGCTGGTTTCAATATATTTTTATCATAACTATTTCTGCAAACGTACTGGCATGGATGACAAGCGTTGCAAAAGACACATCTATGGTACTCGGAAATGAAATTCAATATCAACTTATGGGATTGGAAATGGTAACTATTCAGCCAGTGAACATCTCTGAAACTAGTTATGACGCTGTTGCTTGGTGCCACGAGAACATGATGGCAGATCATCATAAAGACATAAAAGTGTGGACATTCCTCAAACCATTTTCCAAAGAGTACCATATGTTGGCTACAAGTATTCTCCTGTACTACTGGGCTGGTTTGCATTCAGCGACAACTAACATTACAAAAGAAAATAGAGGCAAAACTAAAGACAACACTGAGGCTAGCACTAGCGGTAGCACTAACACGAACGCTCGATGTGACATTAAAGGTAAAACGAGAGGCACCACTACAGCCATCGTTAAAGCCAGCACCAACAGGACTAGAGCAAGCACTATAAGTAACACTAAAGGTAACAGTAGAAGCAGCATTTATCAAGAAAACACTACAGACAACACTACAGGAAACACTACATGCAACATATTCAACCTCAACTTTCATGCTGAGGAAAACGTCGTCGACACAGACGAGAATCTCAACCACAGTGAATGCAATGCACTCCAACCAAGATTAAATAGTTACTTATGGACGACTGTTGTATTATTTCTATTACTTCTAGGCCTATCTGCATTTATAACCGGTTTTAAACTGCCCTGGTTCCGCAATAATGATGACGTTCGTAGAAAAATACAAATCTTTTTGTTGTTGGCACACTACACTGCAATGATGATAGCTGCAGTGCTGGGGAATAAATTCCTAAATAAAAACCCACAGACGATTTTTAAATCACTTAACAGAAGTGAAATTTTGCTTATCTTTTCTTTAGTTGGGGTAACTGTGCTAATTTGTTGCAATGGCATATCATCTACCAGTCTTTTGATTAATTATGTTAAAAACAAAACCGATGAAGCGTATGAAAACGATAAAGGCATAGGTTTCGACATTGGGTATACATTTTCTTTAACTGTAATAACAATTGTAAGTGCGGTAGAAGTTTACCTGCAGACAATTCTCGTCTTGAATACTCGAAGAACTAATAAGACTGTAGGCGCGGGCGCTGTTGCCTTGCGACGCTGTTTGATATATTTGATGATTTCTAACGTCATTAGTTGGTTGATATATATATATTTGTTTCCCCAGACTACCCGACAAAAAGCAATGAATTTCTTTTTGGAGATTCGATTGTAATAATCAACATTATCTTTTTTCCACTTGCTGCATTTTACCACTTTAGTTCCGTAGTTTTACTCTACCAATCTATGAAATCATTAATACACTAGGCCCAAACGGTGGTGAAATGGCCTTTGTTTCAATCGGTCGCGGACCAATGAACTTTTGAGGGATGGCACATTTTTCGCAAGGAAAATTGACAATTTCCATAACTATCACAGACCTGAATGCAATATTAAACTGCAACCATATAAACATGCATATCAAGAGCTCGAAAATTGTATTAGTTGTTAATACTAGTGCCTAAACACGAGCGCTCCCCACGGCCCCCGGGGCCTCCAGATTAATAAGACCGGTGACAATATAGTGCCATTCCGCCGGAGGTCCTAAATAATAAACTGTGTAAATAATTACGATTACAAATAAATTTAAGATTTTATATTTTTTTAAATTTGTCTTATCCAAAATCACTTTTATTCATTAAAAAAATGTATAGACAGTGTAGTCGTGTATCAATGGAATGTAAAACTTTAAGAAAGCCGCTTAGAGTAACATTATGGGTGACATAGGAGAGAGCAATGCCCACATATTAAATAGAAAAGAGAACAGGAAAGAAAAGAATGTTTAATGGAGAGCCAGGGTATTATTACATTTAACGTATTACGTATTACGCAGGCTATGTGAAAATTGCCTTGTAAAATATGTTTTCAATATATTATTCCGAAAGTTTCAAGAAAAAATTAAGGAAAAAAAAAACATTATTTCTGATGTTTTACAAATGTTAGGCGACCAACGTACAGCTGCCTTCCGTCCTAAAACAATTGACAAACATCTTCTCACTACATTGTTTTAAATAAAAAACTATTATTATTAATATTGTTATTATTATTATTATTGTTATTATTATTATTATTATTATTATTATTATCATCATTATTTGATATTTCAAACCAGAGAAATGATAGAGGTATGGCTCATTCATTCAATAATAATTTTTATTATCTTTAACTTATCGAAACAATTATTTCATTTTCTTCGATCTTGTTAATTTATTATAAGTTTCGAATTTTATTGTCAGATTGTTGAGATTTGTATTTGTCTGTGTCATGATTTGTTTTAAACTTTGTTTTGTTTTCCTTAATTTACCGATTTTAAAATTGAAATATCTTATTTTGTATATTCTTTTTTTAATTATCTTGCACTCGTGTATTGTAATTACGCAGTTGCACATCTAGGATTAACGACTGATGGGAACGTGAGGGTTTGAAAAAAGGAGGTAGCTAGGGATGGAGCTGAGGTGATATAAAGATATTTTAAACTTTAAATATAATTGTTTTACCTCGAAAAATGTTTGTTGAGGCACTTTTTGTATATGTCATTCAATCTAGAGCAAAATATATAATTATGTATTACCAAAAAATATAATAAAATTTGTTTTAAAAAAAGATTGAAAGACGTTTAAATATTCTCTTAAAATGTTATTAAAATCTTAATTTCTTATATTTAATTTCATATAATTTAATTATAATATGCTTAATTTGTCATTGATATGTTTCCTCTTTCATTATTTTGTTTATGTTTCGAAGTAAAATTTTTCTTTGTCTCGAGGACCCTTATGGGAACAAGCTTTCGAGCATCCTCTTGCTCTGTTTTTTTCCTTTTTATGGATCTGAATTTTGTATTTTGTGTTGATATGTGGTTGTGAGAGCAATAATTATTAAACAAGCAAAACAGACAATCTTTGGTTGGAGAGAGCTCTATTTTATAACTTAGGATACATTTGGTCCAATCTTGAAAATATATATTGAATTTACTGCATCACCATCACCATCATCATCATCATCGCCATTATTATTATTATTATTATTATTATTATTATTATTATTATTATTATTATTATTATTATTATTATTACTATTATTATTATTATTATTATTTTTATTATTATTATTATTATTACTAATAGTATAGTATTATTAAACAGTAGGCCCCACTTTAAAGAAGCTTGCAAAAGGATAAATACCAAACTGAACCATACAGTATCACATTTCTGTATCTTAAAAGACTTGGCCTGGGATTTATGGATTTTTAAAAATCACGCTTAGACATGTGTTATAATTATAGTAGGCCAGACCTATGTAAAACGAGTACTGATGCATTTTTTGAGTGGTCCCAGGAAATAATTTGTATTGGCTCAAAAAAAGCTTTAAAAAATTTACACTGTGTACAAATTGGGGGGGGGAGCCGCGGCTCCCACGGCTCCCCTGGATACGTCCCCTTGCGTGCATCTGGATTCTATAAAAATACTGGTACAGCAT